TAGCATGTGATGAATACATTGTATTGCTCGTGCCGAGTAAATGCTAGTTGCGCTCAATTGACTTTCGGGCATTCGGGCCATGTGACCATTAAACACATATCTATCAACAATACAAATAACAAATGAACGATAAAAATGTTCCTTATTGTAGCTGATAAAAATAAGAAACGAAGTAGCATTACACTGTACGGTGTAATAAATGCGCCGCCGTTTCAATGTAATCAAATTATCGAACGAATAGTATTTGTAGTGGCATTCAAAAAATAGCGGAAATTTTGTAATTTCGTTTGGTTTATTGGCATCGCACTCAAATATTCCATACAATTTAACATTTTAGTTTAATGAAAGACACAAATCTATTCCCGATTGGGATATTTTGTTTGTTGTTTACTTCATTTTCCACCTTCACTCCCGTTAATCATTCCTGTTCATTGGCATTTCACTTTTTGATATGAAGTCACAACAATTTTACCTTTGGGACCATTAAAACTATCGTTCAATACAACTATTATCCATACACAATTTGTGTACCGTAAACAATTCCAATGAAAGTGATCGATGACAAGAAAAAAAACACCATTATAAAGCGCCAGGTTGAAATGGAAAAATAGACAGCGGGCGTGAAAAAGAATTCAAAAGAAAAACAAAAACAAATAAAACAAGCAAATTGAATGGAATATTGTTGTTTGCAAACTCTGAATGTAAGCTGACCGAATGAATTTATGACTGTTATGCCAATCCGTATGATTCATAACACCCCGTAAAGCGTTTGCACTTTTGATGCTATTCCATTTCGCGGAATATTCCGTGGTATACATCATTTCATCGATATTCGCATGTAGCTCGAACGATAGTGGAAAGTTTTTCACCGGTGAATTCCCTTTTGTAAATAATATCAAGAAAAAAAAAAATGACATCAACACTATAAAAGAAAACAAAACATTCACCGCAACAAACACAACTTGACAGCAACAACAGCCATGACGACGACAATTACAACGTCGCGACGATCCATTGAGTCCCGTGTAGAGAGGTGGAACATTCGCTCGTTCATTATATCCATGCAATTTAGGTGTTTTTTGTTGTTGATGATGTTGTTGTTGTTTTTCTCTTCGCTGAGAAAATTAACCAGACAGAACTGGTGTGTATATAGTTTATTCTCAGTTGGGAAGTAAACGTGTGCATAAAACAGAGTCGACCAAACCAATGTAAACATCAATTAAACATTTGCAAGCAAACAACGCGCTGCTAATTCAAGATTATAAAGCACATCAAAGTGAAACTCTTTTTGCATTCATTGCGTTGTATAAAGCGGTTGCTGAAAATTACCTTTGAGACAAACAACGACATTTTGTAAGAAAGGCACCCGACCATTCAAGTCATTTGATGCACAAGAACAACAAGTTTTTATATGCGAACATGTCTATTCTTAGACGCAATGAAAATGCAAAATTTACTAGAATTTAATGACAAGAAAATGGGTAAAACCAATTATAAAAATTTGTTTTCATCCAGTTTTTCGATGTTCTCTCTCTCTCTCTCTCTCTCTCTCTCTCTTTGTGTGCCTCAGTCGCTCTGAAAAAGGCTGATGAAAATGGACATGGAATCACTTTTTTTGAATCCAGTTTCAAAAATTTCATCCAAACATTTTCTGTCAAGAAAATTTCCTGTTCTTTGTTGGCATATGTTTGTGCGCAATAAACATATAAATCAGAGTAATTCCCGTGAAATTATACGTTCCGTTAAAAATTCCATTTACGTTTATCTGCCCATAAACGTATTTGTGTGTGTGTGCATATATATAAAGTTCTTGACGTGATTCAGTCTTCATCGTTCGATGCATGCACATCCTGAATGATGCAGTACATGCTCATTTTATATGCAAATTGAAGTGCACTGCAATGAGGGATCGTTTTCTTCACTTTGATTTAATTCAATGCATTTTACAAGTGATTTAACCGTCCGACCAATCTATTCAGACGTTAATATTCGGTTTCGATTGCGATTATGCTCACTAGCATTCATTTAACGCGTGCAACTGAACCAATGTGACCATCTGCTGTGGTCGTTCAGATTAAAGTGCAAATTCACATTTTTTTTCTTTCTTCAGTGAACTTAACCCGTAATAAGTATTCGTATATTCATGAAGGGTTCATTTGAAATTTAAAAAAATTCTTCCATTTAAATTATCGATTTATTTTTTCATTTTATTGATCATCAAAAAACAGAAGTTAGCCTCAAACATCATCAAATGTAAATATGAATGACCGTCTTTTTTTCCAATCTGACACAGATTTTATGTAATACACGCGCCGCTTCTATTTCTCATTTTAAGTACTCATGTCAAGATTTTTAAGAATCGTGTTCAATCAATACATCCATTTGGTTGATTTGCAAATATTAAAAATACACACATACGCGACGAATATAAGAGAAAAAAATAAATTGAAATTTCATGTTTGCCATCATTTGATCCATGTTTATGATCGATCCCAAAATAAACTCAAACAAATGGCCAGGGTTAATGTAGAATCTATAGAATATGATATAAATGGAAAATACAGTGAGTGATCACTTACATAAAGTTCTATGTCTTCATGTGAATTCGCACAGAAAATCGCTGGAAAAAAAGAGACAAATCAAAACGAGACAATAAGACGAGAGAAAAAAAAACACACGATGATTAAAATGATTTTGCAAATTGTAGATGGCAACACAATTTTTGTGAACGCAAAGTAATGGATACTGATTACACCCATATACACCGTGTTGACTGTCCGTTCGCCTTTTCTCGCTGTAATTGTATTTATGGGCGCAAGTCTTTTCAGAAAGTATAAATCTCAGCTTAATGGATCGTAAATGGCTTTACGGGCACAAATAAGAAGATAAAAAAAAACTGAACAACAACACAATAGCGCTTTGTGATTCATTCTCATCTAGACGGTTGGCAGCGAAAAAAAAGTTGATAGCCACGATGCGTTCCTAGTAAAAAAAATCGACAAGTTTTTTTCGTGATGTATTCCTAGGAAATTGGGTGGTTACTTCCGATTGACAATCGATGTTCTATTTTGCTTTCGCTCACAATCACTTGTCTCGCTCAATCGTTCAATACCAATTTTCAAGAATCAGACAATATAAATTTTTTATCGATTTTTTTGAAAAATTGCGGCCATAAATTAAACACTAAAATAGATGTGCTGGTGTTGGTTAGCTTTTGTTTGAAGCTGAAGTTTGTAGTTTTTTGTTAATTTGCGTAAAATAACATACAAAAACCATAAAAACCCATTCGAAAGAAGAAGGAAGTGTCATAGATAAAGTTTAAAAATACTTTTGAATAATGCGAATTTAAAAAATCCCCATTTTTTGCTCAGAAAAATGACTGGCACGCGAAAAAAAATGACCGAAAATGATATGAATGTTGCATTTTTACTATGCAGCTCAATGTGTCGATGGTCAACATGTTGCACGGATAAATATTAACAAGCAACACTAAGAAATCGCTATCCGTATGTGTGTTTGCAATTTTTTATTTTGATCCCATGCAAATGAAGCAAAACGCGTCGTCGATCGTACACATATGCCATTTGAATTTCATGACGATCTTTGTGTCACATCACAAGTGAAACAGTTCCTAATAATAAATGACAAACAATCAAAATACGTGGTCTTTTTTATTGAAAGGGAAATAATGGTAGCGGAAAAAAAACGTTTTTGCGATAACGAAAATGTGAAACAGAATAACCAAAAAAAAATCAGATGATTTTTTGGACAAAACGTGTGTAAAATTACGTTAAATTTCAAACGTGTTATTTACATACGGCTATCAATGTAAAAAAAGAGATGAATTAGCATTTATCTGTGTTTCTTATCGATGGCTTTGTTTTTCATATTGCTAGCAGATTTTTTTTGTATGCCTCTCATTCATGCTTAGAAATCATGTGTATGCAAATGTGGGAGCTGAGCGTCCCATGAGTTTCAATGCGTATGGCTTTTTTTTAAGTAGACATTTGTATATATGCAAATTACGTTTGAATTAATTGCTAAATTTACCATCGACGACGATATTGATGATGCCGAAAAAAATATACACACAAACAATGTGATACAAGCGTAAATACCCGTATAAATAAGTAGTTGATCGCATTAGGACTAAAGTGCACGAGAGACTCAAGTTTAAGACATTTATGCTCACTGTGTGTTTTTTTTCGTTTTTGTCTTCAATTTTTTCGATGGCACACAGCTTCGATACGGTCGAGATATCAGCTCGTGCTGATACCAACCACGATGATACATATCGCGCACATAATTTGATTTCATTGACACAATTTGTGACTGTAAAAACCAGAGCCGAAAATCGTTTGCTTTTGAACTCGTTCGTCTTGAAACGTCCATAAAATGCAATTGACATTGAATTGATACGTATAGACGTTTCTAGAAATGCAATATATTACAAACTAAATCTTGGTATACAAAGCATTTTATCATTTGTAACGATAACAAAAATTTAGTCTCTGCTTTGTTGTGCATGCAATACCACGCTTCTGGTTACTGTTGTGTTCATTGTTTGGCGTGTACATATTTTTGTCATTTCTCATTGCTTCGTTTAATACAGCTTGAGTGGCACTTGCGCCGAGCTACAACTACATATATACAATTGGTCACACTCATATACGTAATATATAGATCATTTGCTTATTTTCTATTCTTCCTATTCTGAATATTCGTCGATACATTCGGATCGGTAGCATGTGCTGTTGTTGTTAATATTGTTGTTGTGGCTTTGAATGATTTTTCACACTGTTCGCTTCGTTCGGTTTGTGTGTTAATTCGAATTGATTACGAGCCGTTTGGGCTTTTACGTTTCACGTACATTGGCATATGCATGTATGTGTGTCGTTTGTGTTGGTGCATGTGATTCTCTGTTGTTAATTTTGTTTTATGTTGTGTTTTACTCTCTCGCTTCACAAAACCTCGGATTAGTTTCGCTTTAAAGTTGATAGCGCACGGTCGCATATCATTTTTTTTCTCTGTTTGAATAAATCTAGGCAATACGAAGCACGCCGACAAGCGATGTGATCGTATCGCAGTAAAATAAAGAAAAGTCACAGACAAGAAAAATATAGTGAACTTGCTAGTTTTACTCACTCTGAAATATTAATAAAAAAGATACAAATTCAGACAATAATTTTCAAGCGATTATTTAAAAAAAATCATATAAAGCGACAAAACACACAGCAAAATATTATAAATATTGTGAAAGTGATAGTTTGATACAGCAAAGATCATCATTACACAGGAAACGAAAACATAAAGACTGCAACTTATCAAAACATTTTCGTTTTTGTGTACGGAAAATTCACTGGAGATCACATTGAAAATACTCAGTAGTTCAAGTGATATCGTACAGTGTATTTTGTGTATTGAAATAAGAGACGGATTTTCAATTAAGTCCTAGAAACAAGCGCAAACAGCAACAACAGAGAATCGTTTGACCCACTTGAATTTTATAAAGACCCAAGCGTAGTGAAATGTTATTGAATTTGTGTGCAAAAAAAGCGTAATAATTATCGAATTGAACGCAAAATCTGGAACACAATCAATGCAATATTAATTGAAAATTAATGAGAACGAGATGAAAGCGTGAAAGTAAGAAGTTGCATTGAAAGAAAATCACGAAAAATATAAACGATTTATCACAAAAACAAAAACACACACAACATTCAACGAGTGATAATTAGCTTTTGTCTGCGTATTTTTCGAAGAAAAAAAAAGCAAGACAAAGATCAAGCCATTCTCGGGCCAAGTGAAAAATTAATGAAAAATTGCGTTCACAACCGAAGATCAAGGCGTCACTTCTATTTAATACAAGATTGTGCTGTATGTGTTATTGACCAATTGCACCACATTCTTACGTCAATTGAATCCATATCAATTGTGTCACATTGCTGACTGGTTTTCGTGTGAAACAAAGAAGTGAGTGAGAGATATACACAGCGAACGCCCACCGATCACTGGTTGATGCAATCGTGAAGTAAGGACAAGATTTTGTTTTTTTTTTTTTTTCTCAAAAAAACATTTGAGATTTCGAGTGATTTTGCGTGCATAAATTAAAAAATATATATTCCGAAATAGACCAGAAATCATCGTTGGTGAATGAAATTAAATGTCGCGGTTTTTAAACGAATGAGAAAAGTTTACGAGCGCTATAGATTATTTCATACATAAATAAATTTTGAGTGCTCTAAAATCTCACACGTTTACGCGAATATAACTAAGTGAGTCAGAGAGTACCGCTGAAGAAGATTTCACGAACCAAAGAGACATTGTGACGACATACACACACGAGCGGAAATTTCTTTCTCGTATTTAACACACCGGGATCACATGAATAGTCATATTGAAAATAAATAAACGGCTTTGTCAAATTTGGACAAACATTTGTAAATTACTTAAAGTGACGCATAACTAGAGAAAAAAAAATTGTGGAAAATTTCCTCCATTCACTCGGCAATAATACAGAAAAAAACTCAAATAACGGTAAATGAACTTGACAATCGAAGCAGTATTATCAATGTTAATTAAGTGCGTTCTAATTGCCTAATCATTGGAAAACAAAAGAAAAACAATTCTTACACGAGACCGATTTTGTGTCCGAAGTTTAATCGAGTAAAACACAAGCGATCGAATAAACGACCAAAAAAAAACCAACGAGATCGATAAACATTTTTAATAATAATTTGTGAACATATTCCCAGAAAACGTGCCTTCACCGGTTGGATTTTGGTTTCGTTGTCGTTGGCAAATATACGCTCACTTTTCATTGTCGCCGACGCACGATATCTTTTTTTTTGCATCGTCGAGGTGGAATTGAAAAAAAACGTTGCACACAAGCGCATTTCCCATCAAAATATCGGAGTCAATTTTTGATGAGTGTTTCAAACACTTTTGACCAAAGAAAACTTCAATCGAATAAAAGACATCGATGCGAGACAAAGTGGTTTCAATCAATTTAAAATCATTCACATTAAAAATCGACGATTTTGAAATCGATAAAAAATAACGTACCGCAGTTAAAGAGCAAATAAAAAGAGACGAAAAAAACATCAAATATTTAAAAATGGCATTAGATTATATAATCGTTGGCATGCAATTGGTGGGAATCAGTGTAAATGTGCTGGCTTTATGTGCATTTTGGATATCGCCCGGTTTACGAGCAACAGCAAATCGATTTGTAATCAATTTATTGGTTGCAAATATTGTTGCTTGTGTAGCATTGACACCGGCTTTGTGGCTTGATGGGGGCCTAAAAACACGTTATCAACAATTTGATAGCAATAGTATTGAAACAAATACAGAGCACATCTTACCATCGACCGATTTGGATATACAAGCCGAATTACCGAAATCATTGGATGACACATTGATCGAATCAATGGAAATAACAACGGCGAAACCATTACATCATCAGCACCATCATCATCATAATAGTCATCATGGCCATGGCAAAGTTGAACGTGACGTTGAACAACCAGAGATTCTTGACACTGCACCATTTTCGTTGAATCCAAAAACAGTTGAAGAATCTATTGAATCGGTGATCATTCAAGATGGACAAGGAAATATTCGAACATTCAGCGAGAAGCAAGTGATTGAAAACGGTGACGAAACCGACATTATTGGAGAGATTGACATCGGACCAGTACCAGTGGTGACCGAACGAGAACTCGAAATTAAATCAATAAATACGATTAAACAAAGAAGTTCAATGGCCCATCGTACGCATACCGTATTCAGCGAAAATTCATTAATATTCGATTGTACGCGTTTTTTTGGTTTCGATTTTGCAGCCGCCGTAGGTAAGCTTAAACCATTTTTTATACCTCATGCGATTTGTTTTGCACATTTTTTGCGAATTTACACAGTGAACCATTTAAATGACAATTGTCATTCGCCTACATTTCCATAACCAAACAATAGAAATCGTATCAATACAAATATAAACGAACAAACAAAATAGCGTAGATTCTCACGTTTATACAATCATTTGTGACGATAATGGCAATTACAAATATGGCAAAAGAAACATTTTCAATGAAATTGATCTTGAATACATCGCATGAACAATTTCTTACTTGTGCACACCAAGTATGGCAATTTATTTGTATGAATGCGCACCGAATGCGATTGAATCAATTCCATTGTTATCACATCTTCTCGCCTTCAACTTCATTATTCTTCTTTTCATTTTGATTGGCCAATTCACAGAGTGGAACGAAGTGTCATTTAAATCATGTTGCATTAGACAAATTATTATAAAACCGCAAACTGAAAAAATGTATGTGTTGAATTTAATGAAAGCTTGCGACATCGTAAAATGATTGAAGCGGTCAAAACTCAAAAGTCAAGGCGCATCACAGTCAAATACCTCATGTGAATTGGGTTTCGTATCATCTTATTATTTTATTATTATTTTTTATGGGGTGAGCGCGAAAGTGAAATGAGTCTCTTCTTTTTTACTTACTTCATCTAATAGCGCCATGATTACGGCGTATTTTATATGTTGAATGATTGCTTGATGTCATTCAGTCGGACAATTTAATGATAAGTCTATTTTTTTGCAAATGTGAAATCGTACAAAACATTCAACTTTTTTCTTTCATAAATTGTCTTTTTTCCGTTCAATTATCTCGTACTTTCAATTTTTGTTTCCATTTTCGTTAATTGACACTGTCTATTCGAATGGTACACTTGGGCACATATATAATGGGAGTCAATTAAAGACAGTCAACGAACGATTGAATTTGAATGTCTGGAGAATGCGGTAGAAACCGAATCGAATTTATTGAACCTAAATCAGCCACATCGGATTCGGACTTTGTACTAAAATACAAATTAAAAAAATTGTAAAGTAATAAAAAATCGAAAAATTTGGCTACTTTCTTTCCATGCAATAAACCCAAATTCGATTTGTTATCACACGTATGCAGAAATCGATTGGAACGAGGAAAAAATGGTCGTGTGACAGCAACAAATCGAAACTTGCACATTCAAAAACCGTTCATTCAAAGTTATTCATAGTTCGAATGGAATTAAATTTTTCCCTTTCCCTCTCTCTATCTCCTTCTCTCTCTATCTCTCTCTCTTGTTTTTGCATTCTGCTCACAAAATATTTGAATTCCAAAAAAAACCAGCGATCACATTCAACCAGAAGCGTTACGCGTAATACAAATTGATGACAACGCAAATTTCATAAATTCACACGAGCTCGAATCAATTGGCTTGTGCTATTATTTAATTATATCAAAACGAATATGATTAGACGCGTCTAAGAATAGACACATTTTGATCACAAGTTGTTAAAAATGATGCCGTAACACGAAATTCACCCATTTAAAGCATTCAACGAAATATTTCCTTGATTAGTTTTTTTTTGTATTTTTCTTCGCAAACATATGTTGTGCTCAATATTCATGCCATTGCAAAATATACTGACACAGACTCATCAACAGTTGTGACAATCTACGAATTATAACATTTTCACCCGAACACGAGACCAACAAAATAGCAAAGCCTTGATAGAAATGTTAACAATTCTGGGAATGTATCCTTGAACGTTAGCTTGTCTTTGCAAAATACATATGAATATTATTTGATGAAATTCTCTCGAACATTCCGTTTAAACACCGAAAAAATCAATCAAAATGCATAACATTAAATGCGGATCTGTGAATCATTTGAGTTTGCGGAAGTGACAGGGAAAAAAATTAATCAAATTTACGTCAAATTTTTCCGGTTCAATATAATGAAGACAAAAACACACACACACACCCAGTCACAGCTAATTTGAAGAGTTTCGGGCCAACCGATTATGTAAACCAGTAGATTTGAGTCAAAGTAGTCTTCTTCAGGTGTAACATTGAGTCAGTTCACACAGTAGCCTCATTTGTAATTACCGCATTCGGCATAATCATGATGAGAGAGTAAAAACAGTGTTTACATTAAAGCTACCTAATCTATGATTACAATCAAGTCGAATGGCAACATTTTCGTCATTGTCATTGTAATCGTAGTTGAAGAACTTCGTTGTGCTATTTTTAGTACGTCGGCTTCTAAGAAGAAACAATATTTAAATTTCGATTATGATTGTGGCCAAAGTGTTTCACAGCTATTTTCCGAGCTGTATGTACATGATAAATATGCTCTAATATATTTTTAACGTAAAATATTCATTAAAATATGCATAAAGTGTTTTGCAATGCGCGTCGCCGCAATGACATGCAAAATTGAGGATAAACATTGTGTGTTGTTAAGCAAGTTTGCGTCATATCGAATAATAAATAAATGTGGATGCCATTTTTCACTCTGTTGCAATATTTTTGCGACGATTTCGTACAAATCTATGCATTTTTTCTTTCATAAATCGTTGCTATGTGCTGCGATTGTTTTTTTCTTTCTCTATTTCGTTAATAAAACATTGCGCATTATCTTTATTCGTTCAGCTGATCAATAAATTGATTTGAATCGCATACGGAGAATGAAAAAAAAAGAGAAGATGACAACAAATTCATTTTATGCGAATTTTCGTTATGATTAAATTTCACAAGCTAGCGATCGATCACTGCGTATGTGTGAATCATGTGAAAAATGATACACATTAATATACCGCTAGCTTTTTGCTTTGTTTTTGTCGATCAAATTATGCCAAATTTTATTTTGAACACGGGCGCCCAAAATATAAACAATAACAGTGTTTGGCTAACGTACATATTCAAACTTGACGTCGGAATTAACCATTTATTGTACTAATTCACACGATTTGTTTTTCTATTTCTGGCTACTTTTCAAAATAAAGAAGAAAAATGAGGCAATAATTGATAAAATGGTGTCAATGTGTGATAACAAAAACTCTGCTTGGGGTGAACTCCTATCTCTGTTAAGAATTGTTGGCCTTTCATTTCGTTTGACTGAATTTTATTCAAAATGAATAAAGATAAGAGTATAGATGCGATTGCAAACATAGCGCGCAATCAAAGATGTCTATTTTTATTTAATGTCGATGTACGGTGATATATAAATATGGTATGAATATTTATTTTATTCTAAAGACTGTCTCAAGTGATTCTTGGCCAGTTCCATGAATCATATCATATTAACGGCACAATATCTACGGGATAATTGCATTGAAAAAAAAAAAACAAATGAGGAAAACTTTCAATCATTTTTCTTTATTTCGTCACGTTGAAGACGTAACGTGTATAGAACGTATGGCCTTGCAAAATGGTTTTCACTCACGTTTTCTTTCGTAATATACTGATACGTATTTAACATGGATCTAAACATATTCAGTCAATTACTAGTCACTTGGAGAAAATGTTTAACAAATAAGTCATTCGCCAATGATAGCCTTCATTTATATGAAAATAAATAAGAGAAGAACGCACCATTTGACTCTATTCGAATGTACACACTAGTATGACGTGTAGCGCGCAAAAGGGATAGATAAACCAAGGGAGGTTGAAACATATTGTAGTAGACCGTCGTTTGAGTCAATTCAGCGAATAGAAAAACATTCTATTACGTACGAAGGCACGACAAATGTGTTTTTATTTATTTTTCTTCTCAGAAACCACACATGGCGCAATATGCGCGTATTCCAATTTTGATAATAAAATGATGATAAGAAATTGAGTTTGTCATCTCAATCATCGTATGATCGAATTTGCAAACGCAAAACGAACCATATAAATCAGACACCTTCGACTTTTTTTTCAATTGTAATTGTAATCGACATTTATTATTTTCCTTGCAGTCAAGTTCTGCGTTTTTCTTACTAACACTTACACTTTTCTTTCTCGCGTGTTTTTATTTTCAATGATGGCTGTGTTTATTGTTTGGATTGGTTTCGCTGTAATACCAATGTTCATTGTGTGCAAGTGTCCAATCAATTCTTACCATGATTAATGTCATTTCCATGGAATTGAAACCGCATTCAATGTCGCACACGCGTCAGAATCCGTACAATCGTCTAATGGGTGAACAGTTTTTTTCATTTTTCATTGCAAAGGGTTGGTTTTTATATACCTGTTGATTCATTCTTTGTTATTGGCATCAGTTTCTAGAAATGTGACCGAATGTTGAAAACAACCATCGATGCATTGAAATGGTTGTAGAACGTGGAATTCAGTGCAGCAATTATATAAAACTTGATTTGAATGGAATTTGTTCATCCAAATTGACGCATTCAAATCACAGCTAGCTCTATAATAGCATCATATGTTGAAATAACAACTGTTGTGGAATATTTTACGGTTTTTTTTTCTCTTAAAAATATGGATTTATTTCTTTTTCTCGTTGTCATTTTATTTTCAAGTTGTGCTTTATTTTTAGTCGATCTTTATTCTTGGAATAAACACAACATTGTTTGTTATTTGTCACCACATATACTTCATAGTATTTTGGCTCTTGTCATGTAGACCAATGTCACCGCCAAGCGAAACGATGGAAAAGTCCAAAAGACTAAGCAATTAAATGCTGTTTTTGTAATTCATCTTTAAAAAAAGAAGTACGAAAAAAAAATCCCCAACGGAAAATCTGCCATCTCAAACAAACGTGCGCACACATGTGCTCTCGGATTAATACCGATGGTCAAAAGTTCACAACAATAATAGTGTCAATAAAAAGTTTTGTGTGACCGCAGAACGAGAGAAAAACAACAACAATAAGTCCCATTAAGCACAAAGTGGTGGCGAATATATGACTTGAGGGGATAAAAATGTAAACAAATCAAACAGATAACAAATAGTTTCGAAGATGAGAATGCCATTGTGTTGTAAATGATGGGCTATTTTTAGCATCGATTGTTGTTATGAGTTGAACGCTGAAATAAAACCAGTTTAAGCATTTTCTTAAGGCGGCGGAATTTCGCAAATTCAATTAAAATTGAATGAATCAAGCTGATAAATTAAAAATACATGCATGTGTATGGTTGAGTACAGTGTCTTTTTCTTCATTTACATTTCATTGCTCACCAATGACGTGCTCTTGTCGCCGCCTTTTTGCACTTTTACATTTACATTTTATATTGGGTCATTTCATTACAAATGCGCTGGCATGAACGCAACTGAGAATATAACAATTTGTGCTCAATTTCACAACAATCGCTTTTCATATCAACAACAATCATAGTATTGTACGAAGAAAAAAAAAATCTTATCGGTGCGCAATTTGGTGCGCGTCATATCGAACCACATCAGAACATAGTATGTGCGAAAAAAAAGAAACTATTTTTTTACGCGCGAATAAACGAAACTCGTTGTTCACGATTATTTTTATTCGACGACTATTTTCTTTTGAAGCTATTACTATCTTTGGAATTATTTGATGCATATTGTTTTTTCTCGGCTTCATTTGACTATTGAATTCACTGTATCGCCGAATGTTTTGATGTGTATTTTGACATGCAAAAACAAGTATTCTAAAAGATGAACAAAAAAAGAACATATTTACACAATACAGCCTGTTATTTTGCCTGAAAAACAATCAATATTTTCGTTGATTTCTGCGTTGTTGATTGTTATTTTCACGTGCAATAAAGTTCAATGTGTCACATTGTATGTAAAACATATTAAAACAAATTATCGTCACAGTTCTTTTAAAACAATTTTATTATTTTACTAAATTTGCACATGCGAAATTTCACCATCAATAGTTTCATTCGAAACGTGTCTAATTATATACAATACGAATGAAGTAAAAAGTCCCGCAACATTTCGACTATCTCTTTGCAATCAAGTTAAATGTTTCTTATACGGTGAAAGAACGACCTTAAATCAAAGCTGTCCATCAAAAAGGAAGTGCCAATATTGAAGCGAAACACATTTGTTTGTTCAATGCGCTCTAGTTCATTGTCAGATTTGCGTCACTCGTAGCAAGCGTACAAATATGGAACATCTCACACTTTGTTTTACAAACAGAATAAAAATATAAAAGATCAATCAATTGTGAAAAAGAGAGCTTTAGAGAGCAAAAACATCTGTTAATGCTGCTTTTGTATTACCCGACCAAGTTGACCGTAGTGACCTATTGATTGTTGTAGATTGATAAGGACGCAAATGGATTTGTAAACGTACCATGCGGATGCTGTTCTTAGATGTATCACACCAGCCTCTCTCACACTATGGTCAATCGCTTGAATTACTGTTTGCTATCGCTAATGGATCCCTTGATTACATTCCATTTTCTAGATTATTTGATTAGAAACTGCGGCGAGATAAATGCAAATGGCAAAATCAATTACAACACAAAATAGCGCCAACAGCATCGACATCTCTAATGAATCACTCGCAGCCTTACAGATGAACTCCTTCGAACTTTGCGTGACAAAGATAGAGCATACATGAAAAAAGTGGTCTCATATTATATAGGAACCGGTTTTTTTCCCGCGTACAAGATATTTTACTCTGGTCATTTGAGAATTTATTACATTGAATAACCATTTATCGAATGGTCATCTTCTTTGTTTCGATGCTTCAGATCAACGAACACTTTGAATTGTCGTACCACCAATTGTGTATCGAATGTGCCGCTCTTTATTTTGCATCAAGAACAAAAAAATGAACGCTTTTTTTTATTTGCCAATGAACGATAGTATCTCTCGATGTCAAGATATGCCAACAAAGTAGACCTGCGGGCGGCAATTTGTAATGATTTTTATTCCATTTGCTTCTTTCATGTTTCTCTTTTTATTTGTTCAACATACAAATTCAGACAAAACTCAGAAATCAATGACTCAAAAGAATGGCGTCCATGAGAATCCTTTACCTCCAACGATAAATCGCAAAAACCAAATTGCTTTTTTTCTTAAAGACATAAGTCAAGGAAGCACTTCATGTGTTCTATTTGAAGTAAATATGTTTTCAATTTTCGTGCTCAATTTTATGTTTCTACAATAAAAAGCAGTCAGCAATAAACTGTCTGTCATAAATTTGAAACTTACCGTGTAAAATAAATGGATGAATCTGAAAAAAAAAATCTCTATCGACCTTAAAAAAAGACGATATAAAAACAGAAAAATACTCGCTGTCGAAAATGTTGACGCTGCTTTGTTCCCAGAGTTCAGAAGATAGCCGAGAATGACAGCTATACTTCTGTCATTCGCCTTTTTTCGAATTGGATGATGAATGAGCATAAGAGGGCGTAAATCAGACTAAAAAAAAAACTTCAATTTCCTACACATCGTTCATGAGAAGCAATTTTAAATAGAAATGTCGAATGAACGCGTTTGATGATCAAGACGCATATGGATGCCTCATCTCTATCGACTTTTAATATTTTAACCACTTTGCGGCTACTTGCCTTATTCAATTTTCGGGTAATTCCATTCACAAAACGATTGAAAATTGACTGTGACAGCGTGTGAAGTCGCATCAGGGACTTACACACATGTTCAAAGTAATGATTTACTCGTTGTTTATGATCGAATTGAACTTTCGACTTAACATCCGCAACAATGCTAAAAAAAACTCTTTTTTGAGTTCAACGAATTGCTCGTGCGAAGAATGAATTGTTGTAACATCATTAAAACAAATCGTTCACATTTTGGAACTTAATACGTAGTAGATAGAACCCAATTTTATGAATTAGTACGCAGAATAAGAGAACAAAAAAAAAACAACAACCGATTGACCAAAGTTCGTCGAAATCAATTGATGAAACATTTAATGATGTGATAAATGGTACGATGCGGTACTTGCCGATTTTGATTGCGGAAAAATTGTATGTTTTGACGTTCTAAAATGAAATTTAATATGTCAGTTCTCGCACAAGTGCGCACAGAATAATTAAATGGTAAAAGAGTAGAAGCAAAACCACCCACTCATTCGTTACAATTTGCCGCTGTTGATAATTTGTTAGACCGAATAAATTGGCTGCAATTAATTCCGTATTTCTGTCTTCTCACAACCAATATGAATTAATAAGCGAACTCCGCGAAATGTTTTCAATTTTGGTTTGGCAAATGCATTGCCACCATTTCAAGTCACAATATTATACATACAATGTGCTTAAATTAATGATTTGTTATGATTTTAAAATGTTTTTGCCAATTAAATGTTATGGTGTATGGGCCATTTTAATAGTGTTCACTTAGACTAAATGTTTTTGTTTAATTTTACATCATAAACTAAATTGTTTTCGTTTATTTTTGATTTGCAGGTGTGCTGTCCGTTGTTTTGGTTGTTGGAGATACTTGGTGTGCCGTTACCGATCCATTGCGATATCATTCAAGAATTTCATATCTCAAATCATGGATGCTCATTGCTTCCGTGTGGGCGGTTAGTATTGCGATTACCGCTGTATCGGCATTACGCTCAAAATGGTGTCAAATCAATCTGAACCTGGAGAATGTATCAGTCACCGACGATGAAGACTACACGAACGCATCAACAACGGCAACATTCAGCGGTTCATCGCAGGCTATGTTCGTGGCAAATATTTATGCATTGGTTTTTTCTTGCGTTTATTTCATGCTTATTGTGTTGGCACCAATAACCGTAGTATGTATCATGTATTACAACATCTTCTCGGAAGCGAGACAAAGTGGTTTGCGAATGCGACGAAATGGATCCAGTCCATTACTTCAGAGTGCGTTAAATTTGCACAATTCGAGCATAAATACAGTTTCACTTAACGATAATCAGCGTTATCCATCGATATTTGATGTGTCATCACCAGACGCAATCACAATGAAAATCGATTCACAGCAGTTTGCCGTTGAAGACGGTAAAACGTGTGAATATAATAAAAAAGCTCCAATTGGCACTCATCATCAATACCGTCGTTACTTAGACATTCCGGAAAGTGGAAATCAGCAGCAGCAGCAGCAGCACCAAACCGATAAATCATTGTGCAAACGACAGCGTACAAAATCCGAAAAAAGTTTAAGTGGATTTAAGCCAAAATTATCGCAAATTCATCGTCACTTCAGTGCTCGACAGTTGGAGAAGGCATGCGATGTACCGTCGTTTTTAACAAAAAATCACAATTTAAGTCGTATTATAACGGGTGAAATGCGTCAAGTGCACTCATCGCCAAACCTTCAGAAACTCTCGAATTTGGATTTGATGCACAAAGTGCCATACTGCGTAAATAACCGAAGTACAACCAGCATCAATCAAGCATCGCAACCGACGACAAATTCACCGCGAGCCTTGAGCTACATGGTATCGATTCGTCATCGATTATCCAATGCATCGTCGATTTTTAAATATCGCGAAGAATCGCGTGCAGCAAGAATTGGCATCGTTGTGGTGGCAATGTTAATGCTTTCCTATTTACCATATGGTTTATTGATTTTGTTGCAAGGTCGTCTTACATTCATTCCAAATGCATCGATATTCAGCATTCTATTTCTACTTATCGCCATTTGTTCATCACCATTTATATTTGCATATCGTAACCGTCGTGTGAGACGTGGTGTGTGCCGTTTATTTGGTGTTGATACCACCAAAACAAATAGCTACTTACAAAAGCAACGCATGCAATTGAGAAATGCACAATCAAATAAACATGTACGCATCCATCGCAATTTATCCGCATCAAATTTTTCATTGAATATGTTACCGTATAAATTGGCCACCGCAAATTCAATGCTTCCCATACAAAATGAACAAATGCATGGAACAGTACAGTCAAGACATGGCAGCGTTTTAGTACCAATTGATGACGTTGAAACCGAATCGAATGAAAATTCACAATATGATTTAGAACAAAAGAAAATCGACGAAAACAATAATAAATTGAATAAAATGGAAATGTTTGAAGAAAAAGTACAAAAAGGATCCTTATTGCAACGCATTTGCCGCAATAGTTTACGAAAAATTTCCACATCTGATGCAGTCAAAGAACAACCCGAACCACAACATCAAATTGAAATCAAAGATGATGGCGTCTGAACATTTCAAGGTTGACGAAATGGGGTCGATCATATGTATGCAAATAGCATTTCGGCCGATATGAGTTAACGCTCATGTTGTTGTTTTTCACGCTATTCGACATGCGTGCAACGTTCTTTCGTCCGATTCTGCCATGGAGTAAATGCCAATGCATTTGGTATTGCACGCATTCGAACACACAGTGAAAACAATTACACAAGAATTTATGCACTTGTCATCATGTTATGCTAACAGCGATTGGGAATGTCACTAAATAGCATCGCGTGAATTCAACACCATTTTCTTTCATTTAAATTCTGTGTACCTGATGGATCAATCTAAAGCGAACTATGCAGAGTTTAACAAAAAAAAAAAAACAAACGATATAGTCATGTATAATAATTTGCAATCAATTAATTACCAATTACCAACTCACTTAATGTTAACGATTGATAGCGGGTATCATTTTTTTTTGTAGCTGTGACAGAAAATAACTAATTCAACCAATTTGTAGGGTATTATTATTTTTATGTATTTAAAAATACGTTAGTATTTGTATCGTTAAAAACAATCCCAAATCTATGAAAATTGTACTTATAATCGTAAAAGAGTAATATTATTATTTTTTTTCCGTTGTTAATTGTATTTTTTTAGGGAAATTATAGGCTTAAGCGATAATATTCTATAGGAGTCAAAACTTAATTTATTTTTTTAACTAGAAAAAAATTGTATCACATATGAATGACCAATTTGTATTTTATTTTATAAAAATTCCACATCGAAACATCAAAAAAATATATATATTCAACTCAATGTTGTCCAATAAAAGAAGAAAACATTTTCATTGAAAAGAAATGATTGTGCGTTTTTTGTTCACTCGCTTTAGTTTCTAAGAGATTTCTTTTTTCAGTTATCGAGATTTAAAGCACCCTCGGGGAAGCATCTTCAAAGTTTGAAGTTTAAAACTAAATAGTTACCTTTTCTCTTCAAGGCTAAGCAAATGTAAATATTATAGGTAAGAAAATACGGTCCGTTTGTTCTGCAGCCATTTGATGTGAAATCAAGAAATTCACCTGAAAATATTCGTTGCGTCAATAAAACACGAGCATTCATTTTGTATAACACATAAATTGATACATTTTCTTTATTGAATATATATGTATTGTTCATCATCATCGTTTCATTTCAAGACAAAACCTTTCATGTTCGTTGCAAATGTTAGCAAAAGGAAGAAAGAAAAAAAAAAATGAATGATTTGTGCAATTTTTATTTTCACTTTTATTGATAAATAGATGAAGATAAACTTCGCCTCAAACTATATAACAACTATCTATGATTTCTTGTTTTTTTTTTTCATCGGAAATTATTGTTAATTACAGTTTTTCAAATCGAAAAATCAAATCGCAACAACACTAACTTAGTTAAAATAATAAAATCTCGATTAAAACATGGTTCGTAGTATTTTTTTTTTGTTTGGTTGTTCTGAAAGTTGGGTAAGTAATCATGCTGTTCCTCATATTGCATAAAAATCTGGTCGATTGCCAAATGAAAAATTGTTGCCGTCAGCTGTTGAACATACGCCAAACAAATCAATTGCCAATCAAATACACACACAACTCTCAGAGAGAATAGAGAGAAGGAAAAAAACGACTGAACCAAGCAAGAAAGATAGAAAATAATAGTATATAAAACACAATGATGCTAAATATGATGGTCTGAGGCAATCGAATCGAAAATCAATTCTATATAATATTTGTTTGAATTGAGATGATGTTGTTCGATGAGAATAGGTTTCTTTTGCTACGTCGCACAAAATTTCTTCAAAAAAAAAACACGACAAATGTAGTTCAAGGTGGTAATTTTTTGCTTGATGTGTTTAGTAAGCGTGGTTTGCAACGAACAATCCTTTATCACCGCTAGCACCAGATACGCTACCAGCAACGTATTTTCCCAATGAAGCATCACCGTTGGCCTGTCAATGAGAAAAAAGAAAATAAGAACGAATCCATCAAAAAATGTGTTTATTTATAGTTTCAAGAATAAAATCCAATTGAAGAGGTTATATGAAAATGTGAACATTTCAAGTCAATCATCTTTGGGTTGGATTAGCCTCGGTGAATAACCGATGCTGTAAGTTACGCGAACTTCATACAAATTCGTTGACAATTTTCATTGAAAATAGACGAATAAAAAAGATACGAGTGGAATGAATTCGTGCAAAAAGGTTTCTTATTTCGGTGTTGGCAATTTTACATTCGTACATGGAATTCTAATGACATATCCAGGGAAATGTCGATGAATTCCCAACAGTTCAATTGCGAAAACGAAGCGTCAATGCAAACAAAAAGTACCAAACCGAGAAAAAAAACCTCTTTTTCGCTTGATTTGACCAATGCCATCGAACCGAAGCAAATGATTCGTGAACGAGTCAATTGACCGACATGACATCGACCATATGGTTTACAGTATACCCCCCAACACCAAAATCGCATCCATTTTAAATTCAAATCGTTTCGTTTACAATTTCTAGTTTACGTTTATATTTTACACATCAACGCTTCTACACAAAGTCAAATACTTTTTTTTCTGGCGTTCGATTTATTCAAATATTTCCAATGTTATTTCATCTCGCACCAAAAATAAAGTACAATACACAGAAAAAAAGGCACTGGCATCGATCAATGAGCTAGTCCGACTCATCACACAGTGTGTATTTATGTATTTGCACGCGATGAAATGTTTGCCACTCAAATGAATTTCAAATAGAATTGACGGCGGTCAAAGGAAATCGATAAATGGAAACACGTAGTCAGTAATATGGACAAATGAATTTAATATGAGCGAAACCTGTTTATAAAGTCAAACCATTTGGATGAATAAACGAGGTAGCAATTTTAGAAAATTTAAATTCATTGCAAACAATTTTCATTTTAAAACTTGCATAATTGAATTTTCACTTGCAAAACTATGCACATTGATTGTATGATGACACACAATAAGAATCATTAAATTTATGTTGTACTGTGTCGTAATTAAGTTGTGTGGGATGCTTGCACTGAAGTGCTGCTATAGTTTTATGTTGAGCGATTTACTCCAAAATGTGCCACATTCTCTGAAAGAGTCTTTGCGGAATGAATAAAAATGAGGTAATCGTTCGGTTATTTAACATATGACAGGAACTATTGCTTTCAATTATCACACGATTAATGTAATTAACAAAGTATTTGTCATCATATTTTTTCGCACAAGCGAGAGTAAAAAATTGATGACGATATATCATTTGTTAGATGATACATAATTAAAATGTTTCCTCTAAAGAATTAAAATCGTGGACATTTTAAATCATCTGACGAGATGAATCGTTTTTGAACAGCATTCGAATAGCAAATTCCATGAAGGTCGTACATTTGTGCGTTCGGTAGGAACGAATAGAGACCATTATGAAAAATGTGTCAGCAAGAAAATTGGATCATATTACTCAAAGTTCCACTTAAATCCCAACTGAAAGGCTTGGCAATTTAATAAACTATCGTCGCGCCTTGACAGCTCTAATATGATTTGACGGATATGATGTTTTCATATTTGCTGTAGGAAATTCCAATATTTACGATTAACGTTGACGATGATTTAACTTAATCTGGTATTTCTCTCGCTTCACATACATATACCATGAAGAAAATGCACTTGAAACTACATAAGTCTCTGATTTATTTAAGACGAAAAATGCATTGAAAATCTTCACCATTTTACATGTTTCATAATACAGAAGTGAGAGAGCAAGCAAAAAATAAGAAAAAATAAATAACATGATGTTCAATCTGTATATTCGAAATGTTTTATTCAACGAAATGTTCTTTCATTCTCTAGACGCTGCATCTCATTTGATGCAAAAAAACAAAATTACTTCACGTTGGCAGCATTCACCAAAGCGTAACCGAATCAATTTCATTTGTAATCTGAACAACTTTACGAAACGAAAATATGCCATTAGACGTTACCTGGCACATCGGTATTTCTGTAGAGAATTTCCGAGTCTATCATCATTTTATACGAACAAAAAAAAGCACTCACACCGCACTTAGTAACACACTCTTCCCTTTTATATGTTTCTGTAGTATGAATATGTAGTGCTATGAATAGTTTTGTGGTGCTGGTGTTTTTCCACAATGGCACATATTTTCGGTTCAACTTGTTGCGGCCAAATGTTTATTTAAGAACCCGCTCCGAAACCCATTTTCAAAAGTGTGTATATTTTAAACATTCATTTGAATGAAACAAACATTTTCAATTTTGAAATGTTTGAATGCCATTCTGTAATTATTTTTTTAGCACTTTGATTCACCTAGGGAGATTTTTCACCCATTTCACATCTCATCGCTTCTCTCTCTCTCTCTCTCTCTCTCTCTCCATTTTTGCACGGGATGTACAAAAGACCAATTGAATCAAAAGTTTTTCGTTTTGCAAATAAATTCCAGGAAAATTATGAACGGTGAGAGAGCGAGTGAGTGAAATCATTGTGCATCGACACGTTTCTTGTGCATTCAAATGATAGATGATAAAAGTTCGGTGTAAATTAATTATAACTTTCATCACCGGGAAAAGTGAGTGAAATGGATCAAAGAGCAACACTTAACCATTACCAAGCTATGCCTGGAGTTCTTTTTTTATGTTCGCTGTTCATTCCCATGCGAAATGAGAATGCTTGATTTTCATCGTTTCCCGGCTGTCACAAGATGAAAAAAAGCAGTGCAACTAAGTGTTGCTGTCCGCTGCACTTCAGTAAAATGATTAACTTTTGTTTCATTGCTCACTCAGAGACATACGCGTCAACTGCATCACATCAAGAGTGAAAGATAGGAGAGAGAAAAAAGGTGGTGCACGTGGCGAAAATAAAATGGAGCGATATAATTTAATTTGCACTCGTGCCGATTTCATTTGTGTTGACATCAAATTCCCAAGAAGATCATATACAATTTTATTTTTACGATTTCATCATCAATAAAAACGTAATGTACAAATATTTTTGTCGAGGAAACAAAACTGGGAAAACGAGCGTATCTCGTTCATATAATATAAAGATATGAATAATAATTCTAAAATCTGTTTGCTCCGGAATCAAGGAAAGTACAATAGTATAAAGAAAAGCACAAACGGAAGTATCTCGGAAGGATGATTGAATCATCTCACCAGTTGACGATTATGGTTCGGAATTTGTGTGGTTTTCGAATAAATGCCTTCCAATTAACATAACTTTCATTGAAAGCATTTTAATTGTGTACACATTTAATGTACATCCATCGAAAGCACTTAAAAGAAACTTAGTTAAATGAAATTGAATTGGAATTCATAAAGAGAGAAAGTGAATTAAGTCCTTGTCACGACCGGAAGATCTAAATTCAGTATGTAGAGAGATTGAGAGAGAGAGAGAGAGAGAGAGAGAGAGAGAGAGATCGAAAACACGAGAAAAATCAAACAAAAGAATTATTATGAGATCTAATCCAAATATGAAGTATGTATATTAGGGTGTTTCCACATGGAAAATATCAAAAAGTGGCTAGCATCATTTTGAAGAGCGTAAAATTCTGTATAAGATCATTTGATTTTCGATGCTGATTGGTCGCCGATGTCACTTCCTGGACTAAAAACACATTTGTGAATTGATTTCATGTCGCATTCACGCCAGAATCTGTAATTAATGAAATTTTAAGATTGAACAAAATTAAAAACATGAAAAATAATTTTAATATCAATATTATTGCTTAAATATTTAAAAAGTAACACAAAAACTAAAAATTTTACCACAATAAACCAAAACAATGCAAAATTGCCAATTCATTTGACACATAACCTGTCATTTGTCATGCGTGAGCGAATCACGCTTCAAATGTCATTCTGTCAAATGAATTGGCGAATTTGCATTGTTTTGGTTTATTGTGGTAAAATTGTGAGTTTTTGTGTTACTTTTGTTAATATTTAGGCAATTATTTTGATATTAAAATTATTTTTCATGTTTTTAATTTTGTTCAATCTTATATTTTCATCAATTACAGATTTTGGCGTGAATGCGACATGAAATCAATCTACAAATGTGTTTTTAGTCCAGGAAGTGACATCGGCAACCAATCAGTATCAAAAATCAAATCATCTTATACAGAATTTAACGCTCTTCAAAATGATAATAGCCACTTTTTAATATTTTTCATGTGGAAACACCCTAATGTATATACATCATGTGATAAAAATAGCAATGCACCACAAAAAAAATCGCATGAAAAGCAAACCGAATGAATTTATACATTCTGTATGTATATTCTATCAAACATATGGGGAAAAATTAATAACGTTTCATGTTTATTTCGCCATTTGTGCTTTTACTGTAGTATAAACATCACGTATTATTAGACGCAACAATGAATTCATTGACGGCGTTGAATAGGGAAATAGATAGTGTGAGTGTACGTACGGCACTCGTCCAAGAGAGAAAGAGAGAGAGCGGTCAAGCGAAGACGACGACGACGCTTGGGATCGAAATTGAATTGCATTTTGCTTGATGTTATTTTTGTTGTCGAAACAATTGCAACCACACATTATTTAAAAGCTCGGTGACTGTTGGTGCGCGACTGTGCATTGTCAAATACAAACGTTTGAAGGTCGAAACGGATAAAAGATGCAATTCTCTTTTTTCCTCTTTTATTGTGCGACTGTTTTATTCCTTTTGCTATCCAATACATAGCAAAATAGAATCCGCAACGACAATGACTGAATTTATTATTCCGTTTTGTGATCGTTTTTTCTCTCTCTCTCACTCTCTCTCTATCTCTCGCTTTTTTTTTCATTTATTTATTCTGAACAAATTGCAATTGATTTTCATTCGATTTACTCGCATTAGAATTCTAGATCAGAAACTGCTGAGTTGGTTTCGCATTGAAAATCGAAACGTTTGCGTATATAATTTTATTTTCACAGTCGTAA